AACACAAAATGCACAGGTTTATTGAATATGAAAAAGTTGTGTTGATTTAACTCAGTTGTTTAAGTTTCTGCCAAAGCAAAACATTTGTGTGCAACAAATGTCCACTATTGAATCAAGTAAATCCCACATGGCCTTTTTTTCAGTGTACCATTGTGCACTTGCCCAAATAAAATATGGACGTCATGGGTCCATATTTTATGGATTGTCATGAGAACTTAAAGGGCTAAAGAAGCAACTGTTTCCACAAATAAATGTAGTTTTCTTTACAACTTCCAGTTCAATTAGAAGTTTCAGTATAACTTGTTAAGTCACTTTCCCCATTTTTGAAGTATGACCATCAGTGCTTGCCCTGCCCGCATGCTGTTTTTCCTTTAGGAAACACTCATCGTCTGGTGGCACCCAAACCTCTCCGTTCTCCCATGCAGGAGCCATCACAGCACGTATCGCCCTCTACTCCTCCCTCGACACCCCCTCCCCCTGAGCCTACAGAGAGCAACTCTCTGCAGAATCTCACGGAGGTGGAGGAAGCTCCCCAGTGTAGGTTCCACATGGACTGCCCTCCCCCTAACCTCGATTCTTGTTTTCTCTTGTCTTTCCTAAAAGCTGCCGATCAGGTTTTCCAGCTCTTAATTCGTTTTCACCCAGTCACAGTTTGTATCTGGCTTAACTGCCAAACCTTGATGTTTGTGTTTCTATGGCAATCCTGAACTCTGTCCTTTCATGTTTTCCATCTCTTCTTCAGTGACCTGGGCAGCAGAGTTGTTAAGTGATGCTGGGTCCAAATGAGGTCAGGGGGCTTCATATATATATAAACGTCAATCTCTAAGCTTTGATATTTTCCCTGGGTCCAAAGGGTCAGGTCTAAGGTCAACAGCAATCTTCTTGAGTATCTTTCATGTTGCATTTAAACAGGATGTGGGAGTAAATTAGATGTATAATTGACGAGAATGTTGAGTGACACTGAACTGTTTTTAATGCCACCTTCTGTCCCTGTAGGTGCTCCCTATATGTTTTGGTCTTTCTTTTAAGGCTCCTTACCTTACCAAATACAAATTTAATGATCTACTCATCTCAAATCTCATCTGTTCTCTTCTTTCCTCCCCCACCCCTCCCCCTCCTTTGTAGTGTACTGCTGCGGGCCTGTGCGTCTTCGTTCCAAACACTCCTGAAGTCTCTCTCTCCCTCTCTCTCTCTGGCTCGATCCTTCCTTCACTCCGACAGTCCTTTTTCATCAGCTCCCTTTGGTTCTCCATGGCCTCGCTTATTTCTGCTGGACTTTTCTTTGATAATCACCATCCTCCTCTCATCCCTTTGATGTCTACTTCTGTTCTCTGCTGTCTTGTATTTGGTGTTACAGTCTCACGTTTGAGTACCATTTCATTTGTATAACTTGCCTTTACAGAATCCATTCTTGCTGCATATAACCTTGTGACAAAAGTGAAAGCAAGTTGGAAAAAGTTTTGCTCTTTAAAGAAAAAGTTTTTTTTTTTGTACTATTTGTATTGTTTTTATCCTTTTTACAAATGTTTGTACATATTCTGCATGGTTTTTACTTCACATTGATCCACTGGTTGTCAGCGTTGAGAGTTGAGTTAAAAGTGGACACAGAATGTGGTCAGAAGGCAGCGGTGCTAGGTCATGTGATTTCAGCCAATATTTCGGTGATGTGATAGCTGCAGATCGATTGCAGGACAGTGTACGTCGCTCTGTCTTTGCCTGATATTGTGGCTTGGTTTAGAAACATAAAACCCGAACGCGTGCTGACTTTAGCAAAAGTATGGAAAGAGTGATGTATCGATGACATGTTACTTTTAGGTGGTAATGGCTCTTAAATTTCATAAAGACAAGCATATGAAATACAAGACCTCTCTCCAAAGAAAGCTTTTAACAGTCTACTTCAAAATTAACAAGACACTGTGAACTGGAGGCAGCTTGTGGCTCAGTTAATGCTTCACAGTTTGTTTTTGAACGATTGCATTAACTGTAGAATTAGGAATTTTATTTAGGATGAAAAACCACAAGAAATCTGAGCTTTAAAAAGACTGTTTCATAGAAAGAACTTGTGTACAGTTACGAGCGGTGTAATAGAAAACATCCTGCATGCTAAAGTACAGTTTTTTGTGTTATCTTTGTTTTTATTAAGCAATTCTCTATTGTATGAATGCAACATTTGTGGTATTGAAGTGTATTATGCGGTGAAGACGATTTTACTTTTTTGAGATGAGGACAGTTTTAGACAGCAATGTACAGGCCTGAACTGATTACATTTTAATTGTACGGTAATTTAATTTTCTTTCTGATGACATTTTTAGAACTCTGACTCTTCCAAGCCTTTGAAATATGGTGCATATGCGTAGCCTATTTCAGGGGATGTATAATTTAAAGTAATTTTTGAACCTGCAAAGGATTGATCATCGATTTCTTTTTTTTCTTTTTCCTTTTTTGGGGTGATTGAAAAAAAGAATATGTTTACAAGAAATAGTTGATTAAACTTTTCAAGACTGCCCCAAGATTCCAGGACACTGATTTAGCACTGTGCATGGATTGAAGTGGCGTGTCACAGTATTAACAGCTTGGGAATGGAGACACCCTTAGTTTAGCTCTAACAGACAAATTTGCCCAAGGTCATGTTGAGTTGGAAGTTTGTCTGTTTGTGTGTGTGTGCTTGTCTGCAAGCGTATACATATGCAAGCATAAATCTGTGTGTGCATATGTGCACTTGTCTTTGCACGTCTCTGTGGATGTGTGCCAATTGCGGCTGTTGCCAGCATGACTAAGCTGTTGCTGGGAAGGAGCTGGGGGGACAGCCCTGTGAGTCATCACCACATCTCCTGGAACGGACTGTTCTCTCCACACCAGTAGGAGCAGACCCAAAACTGACAGTCCTAGTACACAGCAACACACATTTACGTACATGCACGCATAAGCAGAAATATTGCAGTGCAGTGCATGACCAAATGCATGCACAATCTTATTGACAACTTGTATTACAAACAGAGTCATTCATTGTTAAATTCATTTAAAAAAAGTTCACTGCTAAATAGCCAGCGCTGTGCTTGCTGATCTAATAAAAAGCAAACACGTGGTACATTGATTTTTATTCTTCTGGCCTTGAGTTCAGTGAGATCAGTGATGGAGTAAATAACTTCCCCAAACCCACATGACTGACCAGAGCATGAGTGTACTAAAAAATGAGAGGGTATAAGCAATGCTAGGTTTCCCTTAAATCTAAAACTGTACAGTGAAAATCTAATCAACAGAGTTTGAATACAGTAAATCCACCCACACATCATTAAAGATGGTTTATCAAGCCACAAGTGGTGGTTCTTCACTCTTGTTTTTAACATATTTGGCTTGTGTTTTTTGGCTTGGGTGGATGTGTATCTGTGTGTGTGGGTGTGTGTTTGATGTCAGAATGAAATCTTGAAACTAAACTAAATACTTACCCAGTTTTTTTCCCTCTATGTTTACCGTTGTTCTTGTTTTTGTTCCTCTCACTTAGAAGGTTTTTAGCCATCATTATTCTTCTAAGTTTTGTTGATCAGAGAAACAATAATGCACTTCCTAATTAAAACACTTGTGGCCTTGCTGTTCTGTAATCTAATATTTCTTGACTGCGATAACAGTCAGCCCCAATGCTAAGATTTTCTGTTCTCTTCCAGCTTGGCTCCATTCTGTTCAGAACTCTGCAGTCAGTGACCAGAAACCAGAAACGGAAGCACCTCTGGCCGAGACTCTGTCTTTGGGCAGCAGCAGTGCCGGCAGCAGCCTGCATGACCAGGGTTACGCTGCCTCTGAAGGTATGGCAGAGGGCGAGGACTCGGGCATGATCAGTTCTCCCTCCGACACCCAACCCACTTCCCCCGATGGGAGTGTGTCTCTGGATGGACGTAGTGGGTGGAAACCGGCGGGGCCAGTGCGAGATAGTTCCAGTGAGAGCGATGAGGGATGTGCCACGTGGGGATCAGTACACAGGTAGAAAAGGGAACCAAGAAAGTGGGTTGGGCAGTTTAAATGAGACTCACAACAAAATTATTTCTCATATTTGCATATAAAGAATTTGACTAAAGTTATATTCAAGATGGTGGGACTAATTAAGAAATCTGCATTTACTTCATTTATCGACCTGACTTCTTTCCCATACTTATTAATCTTATTGTCAATATCAGCTCATCTTCTCTAATCCACTGAGCTGTCCATTTAAGCTAGCCTAACTGCTATTACAACAAACTGTCACAGTTTTATCCAACTTGAGTTTGACAAAGCTGATATTTGTTATTGAGCCAGCAGTAAAAATCAAGAGCAGTTCCTACCATATTATATTTGAGTCAGCTTTGCATTCTGGGCTTTTATAGTTATGGTTTTAGGCCCTTAATCAAAGGTCTGTGAAAAATCAATGCTGTTCCAGATCCCTTTTCACATTTTAAGTTGTTTTGAAAAGCATACGCTCATTTACCCAGACCAGGGATCTTGGATTGATGCCCCTACTCAGAGAAATTTTATGAATCCAGGTTCTGGCCTGATGTTGCCAGCTCTTCATTATTCCAGGAAACCACTATAACCCAGTTTTCTCAGAATTATTGAGGAAAAGAGGACCCGTCCAAGTCTCTTAGAAGATAAATTCTATTTGGGTTGGCCTTCTTGATGCAATTTGTTATGGCTAATATGCCACTAACCCATGAGAATTCTCTGTTGAACCACTGAAGAGAGTGCAGGAAGTTTGAACTGTGGTAATAATATCTTAACAGCTGCGTGTTTCAAAGCCAGCAGACTCCAGTGAAAATAAAATTTGACTTTAAACACTTAAAGTCTACACATATTTTTCTTTCCTCTACTTCTGAACTGCCTTTACCCTTTTGATTTCTTAGGCAGATTACTTAAGCAAAGGGTGCTGAATATAACAGCATCACTAAAGTAATGGGTTTTACTATATAGTCTTTTCAGTAGTGACTTATTTTTATAAACGCTAAGGGTCTTTACGTGATTATATTTACATGTGTATGTAATATACATGATGATGACTTCTTTTTATGTACCCTTCTCAGGCACAAAGACATCAGCCCTCAGTCGCAGTCAGTGATTTTGAAAAACAGCTTTGAAGATCCAAAGCTCGCAGCCGAGCTCCATCAGACTTTGGCTGATTTTGAAGCAGACCTTGCAGGTAAAAGGGGCAAAAATATAAGCTACACTGAATAGAAATGTCTTCACTGAGATGTATACATCCAGCACTGAAATTGAAAAACAATTCCTAAAGGGTTTAACCTGTTGATCATCATAACACTACTGTAGCTGTAGCTGGATCAACTGAAGTAATCCTGTAAATGTTCTACACAACATAAAACACAACACTTTACGATACTCCACATGAAGCGACTTTTCCACACTAAGTGGATTACCTATTAAGACCTGGATCTGTCACTCTTTTGCAGACCATGAAGATGTAGTCTCAGCAAAAGAGGTTCCTTATACCATGTCTAGTGACAGTAATGAGGTTCCAGTGTCTGTAGTGGACTTGGATGTGCCAGTTACTGCGATAGATGAAGTACTGGAGGACTATGATCATAATATTATTGAACATGAGGTGAAGTCATTTACCAGGAAGGAGTCAGCTGGCACCAAAGGTAGGAAAAACAACCAGTGCATCAGATTTAAAATGGTTTGCTTTTCTGTATTATGTTGACTACAATTTTTCTTCCCTTATCTTATCACAGAACATGGCTTTTGTCACAAGTCCAGAATGGAGCCCGAGAACAAAAACAACAATGCTTATACAGAAGCAGTCAATAATAAAAGAAACCATACAAATACTAAGGGCTTGTCTCAATCTGAGCAGCACACTAAACCAGCGGAGAGCAAGTCTGTGAGTGACAGAAAAGAAAAAAAGATAAAGGAGAAAAAAATTAAAGAGATGAATCTCGTCGATAGCAACAGCGTGAAAGGAGATAAGCAAATATCGGCTGTTAAATCTAATGATGACGTGCACGAAAACATGAAGAGCGCTGAGATACTGCCTGACCCTGTGAGATATAATGCTGAGTCTTGTGAGAAGAAGAAACTTGATTTTCCACCAGCAAGTCAGAAACCAGTATCTACGGAAAAAGATGAACAGACGCATAGGGTTTTCCCTACTTCACATAATAAAATTACTCGCAACGCCACATCACGATTTGGTATGAAAACCTTCACTGTGATCCCTCCCAAGCCGTCTGTTATAAACACTGCTAAAGAACAGTCAGGTGTTCGATTTACCATTGGTGCCATTAAGATCGACGATCAGGGAAACATGGTGAAAGAGGGTATCTCCAGGAATAATGTCAGTAGGTCTTCAGAGTCACAGATCAATTCTGATGAGGGTTCTCCTCTTCTTGGGAAGGCCAAAGCTTTTTGGAGCTCAAATGAAAGACAAGATACTCCAGTGAACCCCAGCAAAGATAAAGCTGAGGAGAGCAAAAATAAACTGAAAAGTGCTTCTACATCAGTCACAGAAACTACCCTGAAGACCAGTAACACAGAGTACCTGAAATCAACACAGAGTACAGTTTCTAAACCTCCAGAGAGAATCCAACCTAAAGAGGTGGTGAAAGAAGAAACTAAAGAACCTATAAGGAATGTCAAAGTTTCAGACAAAGGCTGTGTTGAAGTGGGGAGCAAAAGTTCAGTACCCAAAAATGTTCAGCCCCCAGCTGACAAACCTACCATTCCTCCTTCAATACTTCCAGACTTGTCCTTCCTCAGACCGCCCAGGCGAACCTCAAGCCAATATGTAGCGTCTGCCATCGCTAAACACCCCCCAAAGACCTTAGTGAAACCCAGCTATGTCCCTAACAGCCCTGAATGCTCTGCTTCCCTGAAGACACCGACTACTGACCTCCAGAAATCAGGTCGATCGATGCAAGTTAATCCACTACAATCTTCCCTGTCGTCTTTGTTAGAGAATAAGGAGAATAGCTCTAATTCTGCAGTCAGGTATCCTGGTCCTCAAAGATCTACAAGCTACCCAGAGTATATGTCAGATCAACAGAAAGATTTTAGAGAAGCAAACAGGGGTGGATTTGAAAATGGTGTTGTAGCCACCAAAAGAAGTTCTGATATGTTGGAAACCAAACCAGCCAAGAATAATCACGCTGAGTTGAGTGGATCCACCAACATAAAAGTAACTGCCAATAACCAAGATAATGTCAAACATAGTCAGCTTGGAGGTCCGAGCCCAGCAAAAAGCAATGCCCTAAACTCATATATCAAACCACCAACAGCCCCAAAGACCATATCTCAAGGACAGACAAACGTAAGTAAAACCTGGATTATACTGTTAATATTACAACATATGCATCTTGAAAATATACTATGAGTAATTGCTTTTATAATTCACAGAACTCAGAGGAGACAGCTTCAAAATCTCAACTGCCTGAAACAGTGTCAGACAGCAGTGTGACCCCAGGATCTCCAGCTGTGACGGTGTTTGGGCCAATTAAAAAGTTCAGACCAGTGATCCATAAATCTGTTGAGAAAGAGACGTCTCTGCACAGCAGTCTGATGGAGGCAATCCAGACAGGTGGAGGCAAAGACAGGTTGAAGAAAGTGAGCTCAAGATAAAATGATTTGTAGGATAGCATTTTGCCCATCTATCTGGTTTCATATGTTCATCTAAACAAGCTAGGTAATAATGTTGGCTGATTTTCTCCTTTTTTATTGCCTTGTTAGATAACAACTTCTGGCCCCAGCTCCTTAAAGAAAGAGCCTTATGTTGAAGAGGAGAATGAGAGGTCTGCTCTTTTGGCTGCCATTAGAGCCCAGAATAACACCAGCAGGCTGAAGAAGGTAAAATATTATCCTAACAGCTAAGAAGTATCATTGATCTCTATATGCTGATATCCAGGGTGGAAGTAAGAGGGATGTGATCTAAAACATAAAAGTATGAGTTATTATTTTAACATTTATGCATTTACCTGCATGTATAAAAAAAACACTTCCTTATAAATATCTAAAATGCTGTTCTTTTTAGCATGCAGTTACAATGCTTCTCAGCCCCATAGATCACCATTTGAATGCAGATTAAAATGTATACAGTATACAGTTATTTAATATCCGCAGAGCATAACTCCTAATATTATCTATACCCTGTGATTTCTGAGTGCCATTTGCAGGTCAAATATCCTGTATGTACTTAATAAACATCAGCATGTTTGAACTGTTGTTGTGAGCATGTTGCTATGCCAAATGTAATACATAGCAAAGCTGATAATATCATTTTATGGTGTACGCATATGGTTTTACACAGTACGAGCATGTGTACCCGTTAAGAGCTTAAATTAGAATGTAAATGCTAAACACTTTGTCTTGTGTTATTAGTTCATTAGCAGCCTACACTGCAATGCAGGTTATGCTAGCACATGTGTCTATTTTCATCCATCCTTATGGAAAGCGTTCTGTGGTTTGCTCACATTTGCGTACCCGAGTGGAATGAAAGAGGCAGAAAATGTGCTACTGCTGCTGAAACATCTGTGGCTCTATTCTGGAGGTTCCCTGCCAGATCTGGAATCTCTGGAATGCTGTATGACTTAGTCGGAAAACAAAACTGTTGTACTTCTTTGAAAAGGAGGGTAAACAGACTGAATATGTATATTAAATGGAGTTATAAAATAAGTAATGAGTGCTCATATAAATTTGAATGTCTCTAACAAGAAAATAGAAAAGGCTTTGTTTGGAGACTATTTTTCTAGCTATGCATCAGGTGTATCAGGAGTGTGTGTCAGAGACTCATATGGGAGCAGCTGTCATTCCATATGGTTACATGTCTACAGTTACCATTGTCTCACCGCTCTGTGTGACAGGTCAAATCTGCAGCTGCCCATGAGCTTGAGAAAATCAGAAAGTTGGCATCTGAAGAAGAGAGAAGCAGTCCAAGCTCTCCATCTTCCCCCGAGAATTTGACCTGCACCTCTCCTCTCTTTACACACCCACCACCTCCACCACCACCGACGATTGCACCGCCACCTCCTGCCCCTGTCTTGCCCCAGGGTAAAACTAGCTCTGTGCCACATTCGAATGCGAACGCCCCCAGGAACCCTGCTCTAGCCAGGGAGGCTATGCTGGAGGCGATTCGCTCTGGATCTGCGGCTGAGAGGCTCAAAAAGGTAAAACTATTAAAAATATATAGAGAAGTTTACAACTCTGAACAACCTTTGTTTGCTTTATATTAGCAGCAGTTTCATGAAAAACATCTTTGGTCTGGTTTCACACAGCTTGCCTCGCTGGAAGACATCACCGGCACTACAAAGTCTCCTGCGGTCTAGTAGCCAGGAAACTGGAAATGAGTTGCAGATTGTAACACGTACAAAGATAAATCTGACAGCCATACTGTACTGCTCCATGAGTATTTTCGAGAGGATAAAGTTCAATTTTAGGTCAGCAGCTATGGAAAAATAAGACTTCTGAAACTTTTGAATTGTTATTTTTGCCCTGTTTTTACCAGAAAGGAACAATAGTAGTGACTGAATAGCATCAAGAGGGCGAAAAATCAAAGAACTCCAGATCACATGTTGTTTTGTTGCCTCAAACTGTTGCTCCTGTCATTATCACAGTGGAGAAATAAAATGACATGTTCAATTTCTTTCATCTAGGTCACAGTTCCCAAGAAGACGGTTCAAGTGAACGGCAAACTGGGAACGATCCAAGCGAGCTCCTCAACAATCCCTGAGCAGTAAGAGGGGGAGCCGGCATCACCACAACAAGAAATAATAGATTAAGTGTAGTCTTAGTTTCTGTGTTTTGCCATACTGCTTTTACAGCAGGTGTTTGGGGAAAAACAGTTTGAGTTGCATTTTCAATGAATGCTGTCTGATATATTTTTTTGCACTGCAGAAATTGTGAAAAATCAAGTAAAAATAAATAATTCAGAATAAGATTCACACCTCTTACTACTAACATTGGGCCTCATTCGTACATTGGTGTAGTTCTAAAAGGAACAGCAAAGCGGGGATGTAATTACTTATGAATGAGGAAGGATTTAAACATTTCTTCTAGCAAGAAGAACCTCACTGTGTTAGTAGCCAAACACCTGCAACATCTGTCTAACAAAGGGTGCGATAGGTGAAAGGTTTGCAGTTTATGTTCCGCTTTGACAAACAGTAGCTTGCTGGAAAATGTTCCTTTCCACCTTTGTAACATATTGCTGTTCGTAAATACATCCGCTGCCATCCACCCTTGAATTCACAAGGCGCAACTAGAGCATTGACATAAATCTGTGCCAATGACAGCAAAATGTAATAGTATATGAGACTTTCATATCATTTTGTGTTGTGATCATTTCCATTTGCCTTTACCACTGTAGGTTTCAAATGCCTTATATGCCTAATGCTAAGTCAGTGTTATGCACATATTGTTTGTTTAAAAAAATCGATGTGAGGTGCAATAAGTTTGATCAGATTCTGGACTACTTTCTATTTTATTGTAACAATTAACATTATTTAAAACATTTTTTTTTGTATATTTAAGAAAACAGTAGGTCCGTGAGCAGTGCTTTAAGTGTATTATTTTATGGAGATCTCGTCCATAATGCCAACTTCCACAGTTCAGGACTCTAAGGAGTCATATTATAACAACTGGCTGGTGCCTGTTAGTGCACTGTGCTCCTGTTTAAGCTTCTAACCTTCATTTGTGCTGCTGTTAAAAATCTGTAGATGCTATGTTGTGATATTTCTGCCTCACGGTGGAAAACATGATAAGCATAGCCTTAACATTTGCTATAAATACATACTGTACATACTGTAGCTGAAATAGTTTTTTCTTCTTTTTTTTTGACATTTCAACATTTTGAAGCATTTTGATTTGAAGAACGGTTTCACAAAAAGCAAAGAGATTAGTGTATTAAATCGATAAGATATTCTAAAACCAGCTTTAGTAAAGCTTATGTCATAATTTAAGCGTTATTGCATTTCATTCTGCTCTGTAGGGGAGGTTTAATGGGTCATAGCTATGAGTGAGAGCCATTAAATAGTTTGTATTAGATACGATTAAAGTCCATGCTGGATCATCGTTAGAATGAAGAAAAGCTTACGCTCCATATTCAGGTAAAATGTTTGCTGCTGTGTATTTCGAGACATCTTTGAGTAAAGGGGGTTAACTAGTTTTATAGACACTAACTTTAATTTGTGTTTACTTCATGCATGATGCAAAATTCTATAACTTCAGAGGTAAACTTTAACTTAATTTTGGGAGGGAGCTACAAAATAAAAGCCTACAGAAGTGTATATCTTGTAAATCATTGCGGTAGATTTGCTTTATTCCACTGACTGAGTGAACGTTTTTATAAGCTATTGCTTTTTATGTTTAAAGTGCACATTGTTTTATGGAGAAGGTTAATTTTGTTTACCTTTTTTTTTTTGATTCAATAAATACATTTTGTAATCAAGCAAAAATTTACCTGCTACTGTCTTTTGTTTTGGTTATATAAATGAAAATATGTGCCCCACCTCTCAAATAGTAATTAGACAGATGTTAGGTTTAGCAGATGGCAGCATGAACCTTGCCCTGGAAAGCATCCCACCCCACCTCCCGATGTGTCTGTGCCATTCCCAGCACTGTGGTTCGCTGGAAGACTGTGGCTATCCTGCAGTCCTTATGAAACATATTGTAACCTCTCTGCCACGCCACAGATGAGCTACTATTCCGGGCAGCAGCTCATGGCCGTGACTCATCACTATGTGGTCACACAAAATTACTCTCAAAGAACTTGAACCTTTCCTGTATTCCTGAATCCTGAAACATTAGACTTTGTGCCGCTTCACTCCCCCCACCCCTCAGATGCAAATGAATGATGCAAACATCCAGATTTTATTGCAAATTGAACTAGAAATGCATATTTTGTGCACGCACATCCTGGTTCGCCACAAGTGTCGTGTAAAAGCTAGCAGGATTTGAACACTGAGGCTTTTTAAATGCCTTCTCTCAAGGTGTTCCCAGACAGACACGTTAATTGAAACTTTCATGGCGGAGAAATAAATATCAGAGTGCAGAAGGGTGAGCTCGGCCAAGAGAGAGAGCTGTAAATTCCTGCTGGGACCACAGACTCTTTAGTGGGTTCACATTCATGCTCGCTCTACAACCATTCTAATCCTCCTTACAAATATGTGAAAGGGTGTGTTTGAGTGGGTGGATGTCTGTGTGTCAGTGGGTGGGTTAATGCGGGTGATATTTTTGTTCTGAGCATGTACGTGTATTTGGGCTTGTGCCTTTGTTGCCGTTCCAAACCATTTTAACCAGCCTACCAACGTAAACAACCTCCAAATCAAGAATTACCAGAAGGTCACGCCACATAATCGAACAACAATATAGTCATTCAGGTTTGACTCTGGTTCTTGATTTTATTCCTCATTGCTGGGTTTGTGTTTGTTAACCATTACATATTAATGGTAACATGTAGGCCTGAGCCTGTTAAGGGTTAGATTTCTGACAGCCTCCATGTTCACTAATGGAAAAGGGATCACAGACAGCACAATAAGTTTAAAATAATAGAATAAATAGCTAATAAGTACTAACCATGGCCTTATGTCCCTCCATAGTGGCCCATCCATAATCATGTGAGAAACTTTAATAAACACTTCACTAATTGCCTGGATGTATATTACCCAGCTTTGTTAGTCTCGACTGGGTGACTTATGAGTGATGGACACGCTGACTATCAGCAGGGGTTGCGCTCTTTTTGTTTTCCAGTGTCGGCTAGTCTACTATGTATCTGATCAATCATTTAAACAAAAGGCCTGTGTGAAGCTGAATGTCTGATGACGTGAAATCAGCACAGTGTGTGTTTACTTTTTGCTCAAATGACAGACATAAAGCTAATGCTTTGTTGCATGCTTGTATGTCAGCGTGTGTAAGTGTGTGTGTGTGTGTGACTGGGTGGCTTCACAGCGTCTATTCTTTAAGTCCTGGCATATGCAAACAGCTCAGGACTGACGAGTTCTTGCAGTTCAGACTCTTATGGGGTTTTCCCATCACTTATGAAGCTATTCAAGTTTTATGTATGCATAAAAATGAACTGAACACTGGTTAATTCCTGGTGGAGACAGAAGGGATGTGGCACTCGTTTCAAGTTGTTCTCTTTGATGCATTACAGTCTGCCTAAAAAGTGTGTGTATGTTTTAAAGTAGTTTGCAACTCTGACGTTGCTTTCAATAACATAAACACGAGAAGCTCTTATGCAATATGGGGAAACTCAGAGGGGTGAAAACACACCAGTGCTGAGAGATAACTCAGAATGAGATCTGACCCTCAGTTGTGCAATTTACATACCTGCCAGCTACTTGTGTTTTTGTTTCAGATTGTGCTTGTCAGAGCACGGCTCTAATTAAAAGCGGAGTCCTTAGCTTTAGGCTGCAGGTGTATCACTTTAATAGCACTCTTTACATGCAGCCACCATGCTTCACTATTTCAGTCCTGAGAAGTAATTTTAGACTTTAATCTGTAGGCCTAACACTGACATGCTGTACTGCTTCTTTTATTTCATTTCTTTATGTTTTGCTTCTAAAAAGCTAGACTGGTATTCTTGTATTTTTAAGGGATTTAGAGCAATAGCTCAGGCTTCAGTTTCAGCTTTCTAAGGGTCTTTGACAGTTTTTCTTTGCTGCTTTTTAACTCAACTAATCTTTTTCAAAGGATTCTTTTTTGGTCAAGCCACTTAAAACTAACCAAGGAATCATTAAAGCATAAAAAGGCACTTAATTCAAGGAACGAACCAGTGTTGTATCTATATATAAGACAACTTAGCACATAATCAATTTTGAACTTTATCTTTAGGTATTTCTTCATATTTTTTAATTGAATCTACAGAAAATGCTAAATATATCACAGTTTGACAGGCATCAACAAGGTGATTCTAAGAGCTATTAGCAGAAAAATTGGTATATCACAGCATGGTGTGCAGTGTGTTCTGCAAGTGGAGGACAAAAGCACAAGCGGCCAAAAAAATATCTACAGCAGATGAACAGTATCTGAAAATCATGTCCTTTTTTAAAACAAACAAACAAACAAAACAAAACAAAACAAAAAAGCTTAAGCAAAGATCTGACACAGGCCCTACAGGTGATCCATTTACTCTTCACTGAAGCCTTATCAGTACTGGTCTCAGCAGAAGGGTGTCTGTCAAGAAGCAGAGAGAAAAGGCTGAGGTATGCCAAATCACACAAGAACAGGACTAAAAGTTCTTGTCATGGATTGGCCTCCCCAGAACCCAGATCTCAATATATCATGTGGAATCATCTACATGGAGAACAGACCAAAAGGCAGCCAACATCCAAAGAAGAGCTTTGAATATCCTTTAAGAAGCCCATACAGCTATTCATGAATGCTACTTAAAGAAATTACAGGAAAAAGAGAGATAGTTCAGGTTTGGTTAAAGAATAAAGGTGCTCATGTTAAATATTGACTTTCAGGCTCGTTGGAATTATAGAAACTCTGTTTTTGTCTTTTATTTTCATTCATTAAAGGGCACAAACGTTAGTTGAGTCCCGACACACAAGAAAACGAGCTACCCCGATAGCATGACGTTTTGTCCGCACACAGCATTTCCGGCTCTATAATCCCCTCCGTGTGCTCCCTGACAGCAAGAACTGAACGCCAAGTTCTAGTGTAACATACATCTCCAGAAACCACGGGAACCCTCTGAACACGCCCTCCCCCACTTAAACCTGAACGCCGCATTAATCGGGTCTCTCGTGTGGGCGTGGTCTAATATAAATGGGAGGCGTCGTTTGCGAGGGTGTGTTTGTAAGCGTCCGCGTGTGTTAGAGAGAGAGAGTCCTGCCCTAGCCGCATGAGATGACGAGTGCCCTGCAGTCTTTACGGTCACTGTTTTTGCGTTCTCCTCTCCTCCTCTGTCTCTAGCGGTTCACTCCGGAATGCTCACCAGCGTGTCCTGATCCAACGCTGTCGTCAGTCCCTTCATCTCCAGCCTGCCCCGGCGCTCCGTGTCCGTCCGCGTGTGAGGGTCGCAGCTTGCCCGAGGTGCTTTCGCTGTAAGGTGGGTGCATGTTTCCGAGAGCATGCTTCTCGTGCGTGTCAGAAGAGTGATCATTGTGGACGTGTAGTAAAAGTTTAACGATGACACACGCCTTTATGAATGTTCGGGACATGTGCGGGACCTGCCTCCCTCTTTGACAACGGTGTGTCATTGAACTTTGGAAAGTTTATTCATTGCGCCGCTCTTCGGCAGTCACTTGAACTGACCATGTTGTAAACCTACAAGTGGAAAGCTTCCGCTGAAGATACCCCAGGCTGGCCTGTCGAACAGGCACGTCGAGAAGCCGTGCGTGAATCTCGTGCACTGAATCTCGTGCATTTCCCAAACCTTTCCCTGCGTTTCTTGGCATTCCAGTTTGGAATTCCAGGAGCCTGCCTTGTTTGTAGTACTTTGACAGCAGTCTGCAGTGGCCCTTTAGCCTTCTTTGTATCCAGTAGGACTCCAGCTCCCTGTGTCCACCTCCCCCTCCTCCTCTTCTCCTTTACACCCTTCCCAAGAGTTTCACCACTCTCGCCTTATCTCTTTATCCCTTTTGCAGCATTTACTCCAGGAGAGGGGAGGGAGAGGGGTGAAGGAAGTTGTTCCAGGGATACTCTTGTTGCCCCATTGCAGAGGTTGTCAAAGTGGGCTCCTGGGACCTCAAATGGGTCCTTGAGTGGGTTCCAGGTGGTCCAGGATAAAGTGAGAGAAGTATTTTGTTTTTAATGGGTTGTAACAGGTGTCACTTTAGTTGGAAGCAGAATCAATAATGCTCTCAGAGGGTGTAAGCTTCAATCCAGGCTCCATTATAGAGGCTGCTTAGTGTGAAAATCTTTAGGCACCCCGTCTTTGAGCTTTACCCCAAATACTTTGAATGCACAAGGGGAGCCTGTCTGTTGAACGCTTCAATCTGTATTGCACGCTGTCTTTAAAGGCTGTTGCAGCACATATTAAGTCAACAGCCCAGAATTTTGTCTGTTATACAATACTTTGGGAAGCATGTTTGGTGATCACAATTTTAGCAGTGAAAGGATTAGTAAATGAGAGAGGCTGATCATTATCTAACTTTATGTGGAAAGGTCCTGACAAAGCAACTCTTCTTAGGTTCTCTAATCTGCCTTGTCATTTGGGCATTCGTCCAATCAATTTCTTTATTGGCTGCATGTGGTCTCTGCAGAAAGTTACATAACTGCCCAAATTTATGATTCTAGAGACTATTGATGTTGGTCTGTGTGTTTTGAATACAGATCAGTGTTCTCTCTGGGAATGTGGGGTGGGACCAGAGAGGGGCGCTTGGAGGCTGATGCATGACTGACTACTACTTCTTTTTTTTTATTTTTATTTTTTTATTAAAGTACTTCTGTAAATGGATTATTTGCAAACTTTTGACTGTCTCGTCAAAATATGGATG